CAAGTTTCACTTTGAAAATTATCCACCAGTTTGCAAACACATCAATCTGACAAGTATTGAATAGGAAAAGTGATAAAATCACAAATAAAGTGAAATTTTTCGAACCATCAAAATCAAGGATAACATAAACTTAAATATTTTATTCAATTTTGATCAGAAAGTAAATTTATTTGAAGAACATTGGAAACTTTGAAACACATGTCAGTCACCTCACTAAGGGTCGAACGCAGGAAACCAAGATCACAAGGTGAGCTCGTTGATGATTCAGTCGTGGGAGGGAAACCGATGACCCATCGACCCTAACATCTGTCAATCGGTGATATATAGCGTGACTTCCCACCAATTTGCTCACACCCAACTTTGTGAATTGAGGTGGTCACAGTTTCTCACTGGAACTTTAAACAATTTCAGCATTTTGTTAGTGACTAAGTAGCACTAGATGCAGCCATTGTACTACACCACAATATTGTTTCCTGCCTTGATAAGGGTGCTAAATTCGTTCGAACAGCTTTTTTAGACTATACTGCAGATTTCGACTCTGTTCCTAGGACACTTTTATTAGGAAAGATGATTTCAGCACAGACAGAGTCCTGGGCAACTAGATGGCTGTCTTCTTATTTTAAGGATAGGAAACAGCATACTGTTTTGGCTGGAAAGCGCTCCACTTCTCAGCGAACTGAAAGTGGTGTGCCTCAAGGTGCAGTACTTTCTTCATTTCTTTTCCCTTTCTTTTTGCATGACTTTCCGAACTCACCCAAAGTTAACTTCATTAAGTATGCTGATGATCTGACCGTTTCTGTCCCTGTAGTTCCCACATCGGATTGTTCCCATATGAATGGCTTCTTAGCTGAAGTTAAGGATTGGTCTGGCTCAAATGTTCTTAAACTGTTGATTTCAGCTTGAGAAGTGAAAAAGACATGCATGGTGGATTGATCCAATCTCATGATTGTTGTAATATTGATGGTACCATGATAGAGAATAAGCCAGGTGTTTCTTATCTTGGCATTAAGTTTCTCTTCAAACCTTTGCTGGTCGTCTCATATTCTTATAGTTTCTAAGAAGATTTTCTGTCTGATTTATTACAGAAAGAAGTTGAGGCACTCAGGTATAACCCAATCTCTTCTCATACAATTTATTAATTCATGTGTTTTGCCCATCATTCTTTATTGTTCTCCATTATTCTTCCCTGGGCTACTCAAGAAAGACCATATAATACTACGAAGAACATTGAAGGCTGTGAGTAGGGTCAGTGCTATCCCTTTGACTCAACTAACTGACACTGTTGTCAATAGGCACATGAATTCTTGTAAACACTTAGCTAAAGTTATCTTGTCTGATAGTGAACATCCTCTTTATTCACAATTGTTTCCTTATATCTCTTCGAGTAAGACCAGAAGAAATTTCATAAACATTTATGCTCGTACTACAAAATATAAAAATTCGACCGTACCATATTTGGCTTGAGTATTGTGTTAAGAGACAAATATCAGAAAAGAACTTTTACAACTTTTAAATAATTAACTAAACTATAAAATGTAATGATGCATATTAGTGCATGAGTTATTTGTTATATTATTTATTTATTATTCACTATGATCTAGCATTGGTGTGACTTTGTTGGGGTTTTTATTTTTTCCTATTAACTATCAATATTTTAACATTTTATACATTTATATAATTATAAACAGAGCTAAACCATTGCAATATGTAAAAGAAACGCTGAAAATTCGATTCTGTAAATTGTTATTGTTGTGGAATAAAGTGATTATTATTATTATAGATTGACTTTAAAGTGTTGTGTTGCAAGACGTTTATTGATTTGAATTATGATTTCGAAGCGTGGTGATATTTCACTTCTAAATGTGTGCTGTTTAAAGGAATTATTATATCCTCTGTCTGTGACAGAGTTCCAGCATAAATTGAGCAGTTAAAACTGATTTTGTTCACTGCAGTGACTTAATTCTGAGAAACTATTGAAAAGCTCAGCTTGAAAAAGAATCAGAAACATTATTTAGCGTCTATTAGAAGTCAGTCTGCTTGCTCAGCTTTAATTATCAATGCAAGTGGCTACTGACCATTCATATGAATCAGTATCATATTCAACTTAAGTATAACTTTTCTGGCATGAACTTGTAGCAGAGGCATTTCTGCAGTTAACCTGTAATTCCGTCACATATATTCACCATCAGTATTTTTCCGTATATTTGTGATGCGTTGAAGAGATAATGGAAACGGTAAGTCCCAGTGTGTAGACACCACTCGAGTGGAACATAAGTGACATGTAACATACATATGCAATTCTCATTTTTCCTAAAATGTAATTTCAAAGGTGGTGAAATGACACTTAAAAAATGTAAGAAAGGTTACCCCCTCATTTTCAACAATGTACGTTAGAAACATTTTGCTACACAGCGTCAGTTCTGAAACTAGACAGGAGAGGACATCACAAGAAAGATTTAGATTTTATCAGCTAAAGGGTCATCTAAATAACATTATTCATAAATTTGCTTAAGGACTTGTGTTCTCGTGAAAAATCCATAGTTTTATCGGTTGGAAGTGTGTTTCTGTATTTTACAGTCTTTATAGCTATAAAATAAGTAGCCTGCCATCACAACCACAGTAGTAAATAATTAAGCAGAATGTACTTTCATCTAGTCAAAGGTAAATATCAAAAGCCTTCATGGTGAGATGATGCAAATATAGTAATCATCACTTCGTCTGCATCGGTGGCATAGCGGTTAGGACGCTCGCCGACCATGCACATGGTCCGGGGTTCGATCCCCGGCCACCGACGCACTCCTTTACCTCGCTAAGCCAGAAATAAAAAGCTGGTGAAGAGGAAAGGTTGAGCATGAGGCTAGTAACCTCATCCTTTAAAAATAAACACAGCTACATAAACTTCAAGCCTCTAGCTTGTTCCACTGGGAACGTGAAGGAATAAAAAAAATCATCACTTCAGAATGGACGGCTTCTAGAAGATAGTGTCCAACTTCATTTTTTAAACATTGTCTGCTGGTCATTTTAGACTCTTCACTAAATATTTTTTTCCAACTGGAAACAATCAAAACAGGCTTGTTGTCAACATTTATTTAGGAAAAATGAATTAGCATGAATTTTTTTAATTTTACTGCTTTACATTCCGTGTGGATCATAGAGATTCAACCTTGAGCTGGGAATTTTCAGTAGCAGTGGTGCTTCTTATGGGTGGAGTTGCTAGCCTCACACCCAAATTTCTTTCTTTTTAGTGCTCACAACCGAACACGAGAGGTTTAAGTGTGCGTCGGTCGAGGGTCGAACCTTGGAACGCATGAGTGATTGGTGAGCATTCTTTCACTGAACCATCGACGCACTATTAATACGTATATATATATATATACTCATTTGTAAATTGAAGAACAGAATGAAAGAAACGATTCATTGCATAATAATGGTTGATCTTTGCAGGTGTATCAGCTTGAATAACAGAAAACTGAAAATTTCACGTGAAAAGCAGTCGACAAGTGTTTAACAAAAACGGTGAACTTCATCATCCACTAGTGTTGTGGATAAATCTTTAGCAGTTGAAACTATGTGTGTTAAACATACTATTTTATTTATTTATTATACATGTTGGTGACTGATGCATGACTCATGATTGGACAAAAATTAAAAACATGAGTTGTTCCTTTTATATATAAACCTCTGTTATGTTAATTGGATTAATTTCCCTGAAGAAGTTCGGACCAGATTGCCGAACGAAACGTTGGAATTAATCATTTCATTTTCGCTGAGATTTTACAAATATAATTTTATAAATGTCTATGTGTGTTAAGTTTGAGTTCCTCAATAAAAACACTACCATTCACTGAAGTTCAAACGCTTTCTAATGACCATTTTTTACCCTGAATTTATGTAGACTGAATTGTAGTGACGGCCATCGATCCTGAAATGAAACTGTATTTTGTTTGGCCTTCAAATATTCAGAAACTTTCTTGCCTTAGATCTTTCAGAAATGCCTATTTTGGTTGTTTAATTGTAAAACCTAATATGCCAGACGTCAGACACATGATAAATGGAAGAGACATTAAAATGCCTTTCTGTATCAAACAGTAACCTTTAAATTGAAGACAAATACTGTAACAGAGTAAGACTCTAAAAAAATCAGTTTAGCTGATGTAAGACACACATTATTCAGTAATGTTAAATGAATAGAATTTTGGCGAAAATATTTTTTTTCGTAATTAATTAGAGTTATCCGGATATTTTATTTATTAATTTCCTACAGCTTTTATACATTGCATTTTTCTACACTAAAGTTTTTTTCATATACTCAGGAACGGTTCTTACTTATGTATCTGAGATGTCTTTATACAGGGAACCTTTCTCTGCACTTATTTGTACTGATTTCTAGAGCCTAGAATGTGTCAGGACGCAATTCACCATCAACCTTACTTTTTTCCCTTATTAGCAGATCATTTGTTTACTCGAAATACCACTGATTAAACAAAACAGTTAACCCAATAATCACCTATATTAAATTTATGCATTTAATGATGAGTCAAGTTACCAAACCATTGGAAAACCTGGGAGTACTTGAGACTCTTCTTCAGTGTTCAGCTGTCAATGTTCGAAGCCAGTACCTTACGGTTACAAGGTGAGCTCGTGGACCACACAGCCAATAGGACCCAGTCTGATGACACATGAATTACAGCTTCCGCACATTATGTGATACATATACACATATATGTAGCACGACCACCAGACAGTGTAACTGGGCTAGTAATTGTTCTCTTATCTGACTTTTTGGAACCCGTAGGTTACAACTTCTGCTGAAGAATCGCAAGCTGGGACAAAACTGCTATCCAGTATGCCTAGATTTTCTAATGTTTCTCTAACGTCTTATTTCAACTCATGATCAAACTGGTAACCAATCAAGTGCATGCAAAGCAACACTTCATAATAAATTTCACAGCTACGTTAAAAACTAGTGTTCATTTCAGAAGACTTATTACTTTGAAAAATGGTATAGTAGTGGTAATAATCAGTGCATATATACATATATATATATATGTATATGAAGTTTTAGAAAGAGTTATGTACAATTAAGAAATACTTGCCAAACTCCGCGTTAAGTATCATTCATCAAATCCACTAGAATCGGATAGGACATGTAATTTAACAATTGATGCTGTTGTTTCGACCGGATAAGTATCACTATTGTTGTTATTCAAAAGTTCACAGTCTATCAAATGATTATTGCTGCCTTTGTTATCAAGCTTAATAGTATTACTTGTAAATATATCACATGGTTGACAACAGAAAGGCTGTAAATTTACTAGTTTAATAGATACAGGTACTAAAGTTGTTGTCGTTGTTGTTGCTGTTGTTATCAGTCGACTTGAAGCTTCATTTGAACATGTTGGTAAACTTGTTAGTGTTGCATTAAAATGATACCCAGTATCTGTTATTTGTGAGTTAATTTTCTTTTCAAACTGTGCTCTTGTAAACATTTGCAGTTTTAATAATTCACACGGTGGAATTATAGTATCTGTTGTCGTTTGACTGCACTGTAGTGTCGAGGATACTGTTGTTGTATTCACAGGAATAAAAGAGAGTGGATTATCAATCGGTGTAGATGATATATACGAAGTTATTGGCAGTGTAAGATTACATAGGTTAATATCATCTGATTTTATCGGTTTAATGTAGTCAGTTTCTGCCTGTTTGATAGACATCGTTTTGTTTTCTGCAGAGTTTTCTCGCTTTGATACTGGTGACATACACGACAAATTAGATAGCAGAGATAAACATTGTTTCTGTGTTATAAATATTACCGGTATACATATAGTGATTACAATCTCGACCAGAAGACAACCATTTAAATACCACTGAGGAATGTGTAAATTTTCATGGACTAATTTAAATAATTCAATATTTTCTGGTTCATGTAAACCTTGATTGAAATTCCATGAATGACAATAATTTATTTGTGATTTCATTAATTTTCCATAAATAATTAATCGTAAAATATGATTAAGTAATAAGCATAAACTTAAAATAATTAAACTAATTGATAAATGAATTATTTGATGTAGATTATATCGAGTTGATGTGAATACTTTTTGTTTTAATAAAATATTGTCCGCCTGCTGTGATGTCTGTTGATTATCGTTATTATTATTAGTATTAGGCTGCGATGGAAGTTCACATTGATAAGTTAAACATGATGTGGACAAACTGCATACCTCCGGGGAATGTGTTCTGCTATCAGTACTTTTTATTGGGGAAGTTTCTGTATTTTTTAGCGTTTCATTATACCTCATAACACTGTTACTCTCATTTTCAGTCGTATCATTATTATTATTGTTATTACCATTTGAAGGCAACATGAACTGACTAATCTGGTTATTTGTATCAAAAAGCTTATAATTGATATTACTTGATTTATATGCTAAAAAACAAATAAAAATACTGACAGTAAAGACTAAAAAATTTGGTAGTATATCACATAGTATATTTGTCAGTATTTCAAGCCATTGTTCAAAAGTTGTCCGATGACATACAGTATAGAAGTACATCTTTTGATGCTCTAACTCTTTAGTATTTATACATTCAAAGTTCAATGCATGCTTTAGCATAATTGAATGCCTTGAATCTGTTGAACGTTTCAGGGTAAATTTTTGTAAATTATAATTTATCAGTAAACTACCCATTCTGATAACTAGTGAAAATATCCATGAGATAATGAACACTATATACAATGGAATAAATGTGTTTCTAATCAATGGAAGTTTTGGTGAATTCATCAATGTAACTGATTTCATATAGTGTATATTGATAAGAATAATAATTAGCAAAGTTATCCAGTAGACTGTTAAAACACCAAGTGATATGTGCCTTGTTAGATAACACATAAAATAATTTCGATTATCTAAATTCGATTGTTTCTCATTCTGTGTTATATCACTGTCTAGGATAAGATTTGATATTCTACGAATAGACATAATAAATCCATAAATAGTACCAACAAAACTTAAGTGTAACTCAGCTCGCAGTGTCAACTGTTGTCGTCTTGTAGGCAAATCATTGATAATATTTAAAGGTTGTTGATTAGGCTTGAGTTGATGAAATGTTGACTGATTACATAGTTTAACTAATACACCATGATACAATAACCAAATAAACCAGATCATATGAACTATAAAGCAAAGTAAACCAAATGAAAACTTGAGTATATTCCAATTGAAGTTATCATATTTACTTGACATAACATGAACTGAAGTCATTGTTGAGCCTTTGGGTTTAATAATTCTTGAATGCTTATCTTTTTGATCAGAAAAGTATGTTTTAAGGTTATGTTCTTGACTATCATCCGCCAGAGTATTTGCATCACTACTATAATTTGATAACATTAATTGATGGTCTAAATCTGTACTGTGATCTGTAAAATTCTCTGCATAACTCTGTGTCAGATTAACTGACTGACTTAGATATTCAATGTTCTTGTGGCTGTTTATTTTGCGAGCATAATTATCTAATGCCATTTTTAATATATTTACATCTGTCATAGAATTCCTTCCACTATGTGAGTGTGTATCTCTTTTCAAGGAAAGTAAAGTGTTTTGCCAAGATTCTGTATTGACAAGTAGAATATTATTTATTATCATTATGATAATAGTTGTTGTTGTTGTAGTAGTAGCAGTTTTCACGAAGTTTTCGACAGTAATCTTTATCTTCATTTGATAATCTCCAAAATCTGTGAAACATTAACCATTAGTAATTTCATAAGAATGCTGGTAAATATCCAAAGTCACTGGCTTAAGTTTTGACTGAATTATGCACCACAGTAAAACTGAAAAAAGCATCACTAATAATTGAAAGTATTACATAACAGGGAAAAAAGAAAGAAGTCATGCATTTGTAATTAAATGTGTATTTATTGTATATTAACAAAACTTTCGCCACCTGGTAGTTTCAAAAACAGAGGAACATTTTAACCAATCATGTGATCTGCATAAATGACCAATAGAAAGAAAGGAAACTGTTAACTTGTCTATTCCAACCAACTGAGAATGAATATTCTAAGCGCTTAGTGATCCAAGTGAAAACTTTTTCAGTAGGAGTGAATACATACTTTATATAAGAAAAAGATGAGAAACTTTACTAATAATTTCAGGTTAAAAACAATATTTGAGTGATAAGTGCAATGTCATTAAGCCCAGTAATCACAATGCTATTAACCAAGCGAATTGCTTTGAAGCTAGTTTGATAACCGTTGAAATTTATGCTGTATTCAGGCTGTTAGTCTCCTTGGTTCTAGTGAGAAATTGTCACCAGTAGGATATAACGGGTCGGGCACGAGGAAAGATACTCGCCAACGATGACAGAGGCTAGTGGTCACGCTATATCGTGTATTGGCAGAAGCTGGAATTCATGATCCATTCTGTTGGGTCCCAGTAGCTTAATAATTTATGAATTCCCCTTATGACCAGAAAGTCATGGTTCCGAACCATGGTGGTAAGTGCGTACTGATTAAATGTCAAAACTAGGACGAAATTGCTGTTCAGTACTCCCAGGTTTTCCAACGTTTCTCTAACCAATGTCAGCTTATGATGGGATTTTGTGACCAATCAAATCCACGCAAACCAACACTTAAAAGGTTTCAGTTGATTTAAAATTTGTATAAGGCATAAGTGAACTCGCCTAGTTAACTAGCTCACTAGTTTTCTAGCCGGTCCCGAGACCAGGTAAAGACAGAGGGTTGGACATGGCGTTAGCAACTCCACACCACTGAACCTATAAAAATGCTTGAGAAACTTCAACACGCAGAATTTATTTTAAAAATACAAAACTTCAAATAAAAATCTCATTCTTCGCTGGTGAAAGTCTTCGAGAAGCCAGTCGGCAGATGCATCTTCTCTCGATAGAAGCAAGAGTAAGAATGGCTACGTGAAATGACCTTACAATGTACAAGGCTGAAAGGCTGCCCAGGTCGCCAAAGAAATGAGAACATATGGCTCAGAAGTGCTGGATATCTGCGAGAGCAGATGGAATGTACGTGGATTATCAAAACTGTCGGCTGAAGAGTCAATGATCTACTCGGGTCCGCTCACCCAGACGACAACTACGAGAACACTAAGGTAGTAAGTGGCTGTCATGATTTTACGAAAGGCAACCAAAGCCGTTATGCGGTGGGAACCAATCTCCTCTCACAGGATCATAACAGCATGATTCAACTCAAAAGGAAGGAAGGTAACAATTATCCAATGATGCGCACAGTGCTAAAACAACGTGGAACAAGAAAAGAAGGAGGATCTTTACAGACAACTAAAAACAGAAATGGAAAACATCCCAAGTGGTGACATCAAAATCCCAATGGCTCTCAACGGACACCTACCTGGAAGCTAATAGAAGAGAGGAGGATGATGAAAGAGAAAATGACTCAATGCAAAGATGGACAAGAGTAGGAGAAGCTGAGTACAGTGTACACTGCACTGAATAAAGAAAGAAGTGAAGAAGAGTGCTAGAAAGGACAAACCACAATTCTGCGACACACTAGCCGGCAACTGAAGCAGAACAGGTCGCAGGCAAAAGAGACATCAAGGCACTTTATCCGATAACCAAGTCTCTATCCAGGAAGAGATCAACCCGGATGATGAAAGCAGTAAAAGATGTTCAAGGAAACTTGATCACCAAGGAGGAGAAACAAATCAAACAATGATCAGATCACTTTGAAGGGCTCTGGGATCGACCACCACCGGCAACTCGCCCAGAAATACCACCAACAGCACACACGGAAAGGCCTGCCAGCGGACACCACTCCTCCAACGAAAGAAGAAATTCTGAATGCGATCAAACTACTGAAGGCAATCCGGGAAGGCAGCAGGACCAGACGGCATCCCTCCCGAAGCACTGAAGATGGCACCAGAGATTACGGTATATATTCTAACTCCATTACTGCAAACAATTTAGAAAGAAGAAAAAGTGCCTACTGATAGGAAGAAGGGCTGACCACGTCATCAAACTGACAAAGAAGGGCGATATAGACAAGTGCAAGAACTGACTGGTGTGGAGTCGTGCCAATCTTGTCCACGCCAAGTAAAATACTAAGTCTCTTCATCCTGGAGACAATAAAGCATGCACTGGATACAGAAATCCACTAGCCAGGACAACGTGAATTCGGGAAAGGCAAATGAATCATGTGCTGATCAAATTGCATCTCTGTGCATCATTACTGCCATCAAACAAAGCATAGAATGACATTCGAACCTGCACGTCAAATTCATCAACTTCGAGAAGACCTTCGACAGCGTAGACAAAGAATTGTCTAGAAAACCACTTCAACACTATAAAGTACCTCAAGTCTTTGTCAACTTCATTCAGCAGCTGGTTATATGACAGTGCCAGATGTCAAGTGATCCACAACTGAAAACTCAGCGAGGCGTCCGAAGTGCATACAGGAGTAAGACAAGCTGGTCTCCTACCGATTCTTATCAATGATATTCTAAATATTCGTGGAGTGGATTACGCGTCAGACTGTGCTCAGGGAATGAGAAGACAGGAATACATTGGACGACAGATAAAATGACTCTAGAAGATCTGGATTTCGCGCTTGGATGATTTATGTCTGATGTCACACAAACACGAAGACTTGCAAGCGAAAACCAACAAACTGGCTGTAGAGGCAGGCAACGAAGACATGACTCCAAGTGAACACAGAGAAGATGGAGGTGACGAAAATGATCACTAAGTATCAACAGCAACAACAACCAGCTTTAACTAGGGAGATTTAACAGAGGTTACTTGCTTCACTTTTCTGTGAAGCATCGTTTCAACCACATGTGGAACGGATTAAGGTGTCAAAGTCAGAATAGGAAAGGAAAGGCAAGATACGCTTTCATAAACCTGAAACCAGTTTGGGAATCTTCTCCACTCTACATAAGGAACAAGATTCGCATTTTCAACACCAATGTGAAGTCGGTCGGTTCTTCTATTCGTGTCAGAAACTTGAACTGCGTATGACGAAAAGGACTTCCAACAGGTTACAGACTTTCATCAACAGCTGCCCGCTTCGCTGGATGACTGCATACTGAAGATCAAATGGCTGGCCAGAAAGAATAAGCAACAAGAAACTATGGGAAAAAACTAGTCAGAAGACGATGGCTCAACAAATATGCAGGAGAAAGTGGAGATGGATCGGGCATATATTGAGGAGGCCGCCGAATGACATCGTACGCCAGGCCAGTGCTCTAGTGGAATCCAAATAGGAAACGACTAGTGATACGTCGGTGTGCGGGTGGTATCGAGGAAATCGTTTGGGAAGATATAGATAAGATATAGTGGTCAGTGGTGTTTCAAGCTGAAGGGGACGGCAGAACACAGAACAAGGTGGGTATGTGTTGTTGAAGCCCTATGTTCCACTCGGAACGCATGGGAATAATAATAATAAATAACAATAATAAGGCATTAGTATACATTCACTGAGAACATTGAAGGAGATATTATAGTAATATTAAAATTATAAAAAAAAGTTGTTAATTTCACCAAATTCATCGTCGCTGAAAGCAGAACTACTATTGAAAACATTGTGCTGACAGTAACTGCCATTCTCTAAGATCATTCAAAGAAGTGCATTAGAATAACGCTGTCTCGATCATAATCCCACATATCTACAATACTTTACCAGAAAGACTTGTGTGATTAACTGGAAAATCCAAATGCAAAATTTACGTAGATTTCATATAATTGTACATATTCGCCTAGATCTTCAAAACAGTTCACTTCATGAAATCAACAACATAGTTTTCATTTGAAATGAAGCTACAATCATGTATACTAACAAGAAATCAGTGATATCGTCTTAAAGTGTATTCTAACAAAATAATTTTACACTTCCTAGTAAACTGTTATTCAAAATCTATAATTATATAGAAGTAATAAGACCGGAATGAAAAGTGTAATAAAGGATATCTTGGTTATAATCCCTGTTTCACGATGTCGTATAAGCTAATTCAGTCAAAACTAAGCTGAGTTACGAGACGTCCACATGGTTGCATTGCTAATGTCACTCAGATAGGGTAGTATCTTCTATCTATCACGGATCCCAGAAGCTCGAGCTGTTTTCGCTAACTTACACCATCTCTGGCGTAGGTGTGACATCCGGCTATCAACCAAGGGACGTATGTACTGCTCAGCAGTTCCCTCCGTCCTTCTCTATGGTTCTGAAACATGGCCAATACGAGTTGAAGACATGAAAAGGTTGACTGTTTTGATCATAGATGTCTAGGATCTCTTTCTCACGTTATGTGGTATAATAAGGTAAGTAATGTTGACGTTAGGCGTAGAGTGTTGGGCAAAGAGGGAAAATCAATCGAAGAGGCTATAAAGTTACATAGATTGAGATGGCTAGGTCACGTGCTGCGCATGCCTAACCATCGCCTCCCCCAACGGGCATTACTAGCTGAGATAGGTGCAGGTTGGAAAAGAGTAAGTGGTGGCCGAACAAAAACATGGCCTCATCAATCCATGAAATCCTTAACAGTTAAACTGTGTCAGGTAGGGAGATGCAGACTTCCGGGTTGGGGCCCATCCTCGGGACTCTAAGAATCAGTGGCTGGAGACAATAGGTGACATGGCTCAAAATCGTTGTCAATGGCTTACACAGATGTATTCGGACTCTGTAATCTTTAATATTCCTTTTTACCATTACTCATTCTGTTTCACTCTTATACTTGTCAAAACTCTATTGATTCTCTTCACTCATCTTTTTGTCTACCTTTGTATGCTCTTTGGAACGTGGCAACTGGAACTGCTGCACTTCGGTGCCAAGTTCTATGTTGAATCTAGCTAGCCAACCAGTATCTTCTGTGAGACAATCATGCTATCACTTTGTATTCGAAGGCTGCAACTTACATTGTATTAGGCAAGGAGACATGCTTCTGTTAGCCTGGGGAATAAATATAT